GTCCGATTGTGAACTTCATTTCTGAGTTGTGGTTGTTTTCAAAATAAGCAGCAAACAATATTTTGCGTCTTGGATTTTACCCTAACCTAACCCAACCCAAACTAACCTAACCCATCCCAAACTAACCTAACCCAATCCAACAAACCTAACCTAATCCAATCCAACCTAACCTAATCTAACTCAATCCAAACTAACCTAACCTAACCTAATGTAATTAGGGGGATCTTATATAGAAGATATATACTGTAGACGTTACTAGCGTGGCCGACGCGTTACTTTCAACTTGGTATTATATTCTTAGGGGAAATCTTCTCTGAACACCAACTCTAAAGTACAACTATTCATTAATTAACTGAATGTCATGGACACATGACACACTGACTCTCGAACACAAACATGAAATGGATACACTTCCCACCGTAAGTAACTCACCTTTGGATGGCTCTGACAAGACTCACGTGTGACCTGAGGGAGGCCCAGCAGGTGCTGCTGAAGGGAGTGCTGGACTATGTCTCCTGTGGGAGACTCTGCTAGCTGGAGACGCGGTGCTGGGGAGGGAAGTCGCCCTCTCCGGGAGGGGGGGGGGAGCTGTCGGCTCCTTCCCTGTCACAATGATGATCCGAATACTACTGTCGAGCGTGACTACGTCTTCTGGCGATAATGGTGTGGAAGTCGTGCCCCGTGGAAGGAGCTGCAGGGCCTTTATATTGGAGGAGAGCCGGCAGATGACCTCTCCTAGAGTTTAGACCTGGACAACTGTGTTTGCCCAGGTGCGTGGTCATGTCGCCGGTTGGTAATGGGGAAGAACTAGGTAACAATGATCACAGAGAAATCAGGTTCACCCTAAATTGGGAAACGAAAAACAATGACAATATGGTCAGAGTCCCAAACTTTCGGTTGGCGGATTATCAGGGGTTAAGAAGGTACCTAGGTGAGGTCACCTGGGAACAGTCACGTCAGTCCCCAGTAGGAAGGGGTGAGGTCATAGATGACACGACAATTGATCATGACTATAATATATTCATTATTATACTACATAAAGCACAAGAACAAAATATACCGCACAGAAAAATTAGGTCAAATAAGAATGAGCCAAGGAGGATGACCAGAAAACTTAAACATGACATAGGAATAAAGAAAGGAATATATAAGAAATTAAAGGGAGGGGAGGAGCAGCTCAGAAACAGGTATAATGAACTATCTAGGAATGTTAAGAAAAATGTAAGGAAAGCAAAGAGAGACTATGAAATCAAAATAGCAAGAGAATCCAAGGCGAATCCCAAGGGATTTTTCCAGGTATATAGGACAAAGGTCAAGGACAAAGTTGGGCCTTTAAAGTCAGGGAGGGGAGAAGTGATAAATGGCTGTGAAGAAATAAGCAAAGCATTGAACAGCTACTTCTTATCAGTTTTCACAGAAGAAATTTGAGATGAAATTCCGGAGGTGGAACTGATATTTAAGGGAAAGGAAGAAGAGAAATTAAAGAATATCACTATCAGAAAAGAGGATGTTCTTAAGAAGATAAATAAACAAAAGAATACAAAATCCCCAGGGCCGGGAGAAATTTTTCCTCGAGTCTTAAGAGTGTAGGGAACAGATTAGCGGACCCCTCATAAACTTATTTACAAAATCATTAGACACTGGAGTTGTGCCAGAGTTGTGGAAACAGGCAAATGTAGTACCCATATTCAAAAAGGGAGACAGAGCATCAGCGTCAAACTACCGGCCGATCAGTTTAACGTCAGTAGTGGGGAAATTTCTTGAATCAATTATAGCAGATAGCATCCGATCGCATCTAGAGAAAAGCAAATTAATCTACGACTCTCAACATGGGTTTACAAAGGGAAAATCTTGTCTAACAAATCTGCTAACGTTTTTTAGGAAAGTCTTCGAGGTAGTAGATATTGACGAAAATTACGATGTTATTTACTTAGACTTTAGCAAAGCATTTGACAGAGTACGGCATCAGAGGCTTCTGAGAAAAATTAAGGCTCATGGTATCGAGGGGAAAGTTTTAAATTGGATAAAATCACGGCTCACCGATAGAACGCAGAGGGTCAGCGTAGATGGTGTTAAATCTGAGTGGGGCCGTGTAACCAGTGGGGTTCCCCAGGGGTCAGTACTAGGCCCACTCTTGTTCATAATCTACATAAACGATTTAGATACTGGGATCAGCAGTGACATAAGCAAGTTTGCGGATGACACCAAAATAGGGCGGCAAATTAATTCAGGGCAGGATGCAAATGCATTACAGGAGGATCTAAATAAACTGCAGGGGTGGTCTGAAAAATGGCAAATGAAATTCAACACCAGCAAGTGCAGCGTACTTAATATTGGAAGAACAAATACTTATCATGTATACAGCCTTAACAACATCAACCTAGAGAAGTCGACTTGTGAAAGAGACCTAGGGGTACTTGTAAGCCCGGACCTACGGCCTAGAAAACAGTGCGTTAATGTTCGAAATAAGGCAAACAGAGTATTGGGTTTTATATCTAGAAGTGTAAGTAACAAGAGTGCAGAGGTCTTATTGCAACTATATCTTGCGCTATTAGGCCGCACCTCGATTATGCGGTTCAGTTCTGGTGCCCCTATTATAGAATGGATATAAATTCACTAGAGTCGGTGCAGCGAAGAATGACAAAAATGATTCTGGGACTTAGAAACCTTCCATATCAGGATAGGTTAAAGAAACTTAACTTGCATTCCCTAGAAAGACGAAGAGTGCGGGGAGATATGATAGAAGTATTTAAGTGGGTGAAAGGAATCAATAAAGGGGATATAGATAAAGTTCTATAATATCCGAGCAGGATAGGACTCGGAGCAACGGATTCAAATTGGATAAGTTTAGGTTCAGGAGGGAGATAGGAAGAAACTGGTTCACAAATAGGGTGGTGGACGAGTGGAACAAGCTTAGCAACTTTGTAGTAAGTGCGGGAACTCTGGAAAGTTTCAAAAGGAGGCTAGATAGCTTCATGGATGATAGAGAGTGGTAGTAACTCTCGACAGGAGCTGCCATGCACAGGCCAACCGGCCTATTGCAGACTCCTAATTTTTTTATGTTCTAATTATCACCACCAGAGTGTGTCCTGGCTAGGTGTGGTTTCTTTAACACGGTCATAACGCCCGGTTAACTTAGATGGATCACTTGAAGAATCATCTCCCCAGCTTATTTCACCTGAAGATTAATTTACCTTAATGCTAACTTAACCTAACCTAAACCTATTCTATCCTAACCTAAATCTAACCTAACGTCATCCTCCCGAAATAGTTTTAGGGTGGTTTAATCTTTAGGTGAAATAAGCTGGGGCGATGATTCTTCAGGTGATCCGAAACAATAAAAAAATAAAATAAATAAATAATAAATATATATATATATATATATATATATATATATATATATATATATATATATATATATATATATATATATATATATATATATATATATATATATATATATATAAGTAAATCACTGTAGGTGCGCGTGATCTAGGTATATGCTGATAACCACAAGGAAAGAAGAAAACACGAAGTTCCCAAGCGCTTTCGTGTAATTCACATCTTCAGGGGTGAGTACAGACTAGAGAGAGTAATACAAATCAAGGTGTATATATACAGAGGAGGGTGAGACCAGGTCCACAATGGTCAGGTATTAGGTAATGACCCTACTAATCTTTAAATAGCACACAACGGTTGGTGGTCAGGTCAGATGGTCAAGTGACCCGGCCTTCTCACCTGATCACAAATCTTCTTAATTACAAAATTGTCCAGCTTGTACATGCCGTTACTCAAATTCATGTTGAATGCTTCGGTATGTTTAATAAGACTAGATTCTATGATGTTCCTACTATCAATTGAATTACATGGTAATATTGAGGAGGCATTATCCCAGTCAATGCAATGCTTGTTATCCCTCAAATGAACAAACAGAGCATTGGATTCCTGGCCTGTCCTAACACTGTATTTGTGTTGTTTAATTCTAGTTGCAAGATCTTTACCTGTCTGGCCTAAGTAAAACATATTACATTCCTTGCAAGGAACTTTATAAATGCAACCAATTGTGTTGTTGGGGGAGTTCTTGATTAACATTTGTTTAACAGTGCATGAGTTTTTAAATGCCACATTGACGTTCCAGGTTTTTAGCTGTGCAGGAATGTGTGAGAAATGCCGGCCACCAGGCGTGGGGTCACCTTCCGTTGATGTCTTCCCCGTGTAGGTGGTCTGGGCTGTGAGGGTCGTCCAGGAGCTTGTCCTAAACCTTCTTCCCTAGGCGATGGAACCTGACGTTGAGGGCCTCTGTTATATTTCTCAGGTGGATTGTTTCCACTGTCTCCTGGTAAGGTGGCGCTTGGCCACTGGCTGACCTCAAACACTTGTTCTGGAAGCTCTGTAGTTGTTGTAGTCTGGTCTTCCCGAGTGTGACGAGTGGTATAGATGGGTACTCCAACACAGGCCTCACCAGCGCCTTGTACAGGTGAACTTGTATCTTGTCGGGCATCAGTTAAAAAACGTTTTAATTTGGATGCGGCGACTTTGGCTTTCTTTTGTCTGTCCTTCACGTGGGAAATGATGCCCGTCCGAAAGATGATGAGGCCTAGCAACCTGCCTTGTCTAGACTACTCAATCTCTTCGCCGTCGATCGTCAATGGCGCCGGCTTGAATTTTTCAATGGGTATGACCTCGAATTTCGTTTTGTTTGTTTTTTATTTTCCATTTATTTTCATACTCCGAGATATCCTTTATTGCCCGGGCAGTGAGTCGCGCCATCCTTGCCCTGGACCTTCCTGGGCAGGTGACGATCTGTGCTATATCATCGGCATACATAAAGTACTCGCTGCCGACGGTTTTGGCTCTGCGTTCCATAATGAAGATGCACAGCAGGCGCGTCAGGTTTTCGAGTAGCCCCAGTTGTATGATCTTATACTGCAGCCCCGCCTGCCAAACTTTGTCAAACGCCTTGCTGACACCCCTCAGTACTACGTTGCACTGCAGGCGGCCAGTCATGGCATTGGCGATCTTCTCGTAGGCCTGGGCTATGGCGGTGGATGTGCCTCGGTACTGGCGGAAGCCGAACTGATATTCTCTGATACCGAATCCACCAAACCTACCAGTGCCGCCATCCAAGGTGCATTTTCCCTATCTTGGATGAAACTAATGCAGAAAGACCGAAGCACCCTAAGTATTTTTACACAGATTTTGGAAACTGAAAATTTACTCATATTCGAAGCGAATATCAAAGTTCAATATACTTGTTACTCTTTGGCTTCGACTATGTTAAATGACCATGAATTCTGATTTCTCAGGAAATGTGTATCTTAAAAAATGTAAACCTTAGGACCAAAATAATTTTCAGACAAGAAGTGAAGATGCTCCATGTGGTCTCAGTCTACGACGATTTTAGTGTTCAATGATACTGGTAGCGCACAGTCATATTAATATGTTTCCAAGTTGATTTTCAAAGTGCATACATATTCTACGGTGCATCTCATAAGACCATCTGCGCTATAAACTCTTGTGGAATTATCTTTAAGACCAAATGCGGGGATGCGTAGGTCCACTGAATTTAGTTAATCGAGAGGATGAACTTAATTTTCATTGTATGTCGCAAAGAATTTCAATATCAGCTTTTCTACCATAAAAGTTATACCAGCTGCAGCAAGTCCCAGCAGTAGGAGCAGGAGCGGCCCCTGCATGTGTACAATGGTGAGGGCCTCGATGTTACTTTCGTTAGATTCTTTTTCCATGACTGAGTCTTTCCCTTGTTGGTTCTGCTTCAGTTCCTCTCTCTTTCTTATACGACTCTTCCGCTCAGCGTCACGCAATTGTTCTTTCCTCCAATGCTCATACAAGCCAGCCTGGAAGATTACATTTAAAGAAAATAGGTCCATTTTTCTGGAAAATTAAAAATATTTAAGTATACTACTGGGGTAAATTCTTGAACTGAGAGTTAAGGAAGAGATAAAGATAATTTATGAGAAACTAACGTGAAATATTTATATTAGCCTAATCCTCTGGTTTGCATCTTCCAACTCACCTCTGTGATTGTCATTAAGTAGCGATCTAGTGTAGGCTTGTATGGGGCATCGTGTGGAATTGGCCAGGACGCGGTTGAGGAGACAATTATCTCCCGTCCAACATATATTGGAGACGATCCATCTATCCGAGTGAATTGTTGTGCAATCGTCAGTTCAACGTATTGTTGACCACCAACGTGAGCTTGTCTGTGTAAAGCAAGAGTCGCCACAAAGATAAACACTTTTGGGTTCTTTGATCAAGCATTATTTAGTAAACATTCTGAAAGAATCTAGCTTTCGGCAATAACAATTCCGAAAGACATTCAAAACTGATTGACAGGCTCCTATTCACACTATAGACCTAACATGTTTCCACAAATTCTTCTAATGCAGTAAGACAATGTGAGTTCTCCCAACGGACAGTCAAGTACTATATGGTGGTAAATATCGAAAGAGCACACCGAAACAATAATTACTATAGCCTACTGCAACCTTCAAGATGTTAAACATAATAACTCACCTCTTCACCATAGCTTCCTGGAGTCCATCAATGATACCAGTTCCCAGAAACATCAGTTTTCCCAAAGCATTGAAAACTCTTGACTGTGACTGGATGAAGAATCCTTTGTAAGAGGTTCCCCACGACTCCATTGTGATTCTAAACGGATTTTAAGATAGAATAATGCTTGAGTTAAGCGTATATTTATGTGTAATATGCTATATCTTAGAGAAAATGACTCTTTTCGCCTAAGCAATGTAATTTCTCTTATAATCAATATTATTATTCTTATCTGTAGCCTTGGAGAAATAAACTGCAAATGTCATATATATTAATTTTGTACTCTCTCTCTCTCTCTCTCTCTCTCTCTCTCTCTCTCTCTCTCTCTCTCTCTCTCTATGTGATAGCTGTTTGTCTATCACATTTAATTGTTTTAAATATGTTCTGGAACTATAAGTGGCAGGGCTTCATGTAAACACATATTCTGTTTTTTTTTATATTGTCAATGCAGTTTTATATATATATATATATATATATATATATATATATATATATATATATATATATATATATATATATATATATATATATATATATATATATATTATGACTTTGCTTGGGAGATTGGTATCCCCGCCTCCCCTGAGCAACGCTCTTGTGCATTATGCAGAAGACCCGACAGCAGCACCCTTATCCACTACCTCCTAAGCACTAGTCGATCCATAGGTTACCATGATGAGATGTATCAAGTGAAACATGTATATGGAGCAAGTAACAAGATCACTAGATTACAAGATGTTGTAACCGCTAGATTAAGGTTAGGATATAAGTACCTTTGGCAGTATGTTCCTCAAGCAGATGTAAACAAAACTAAATGTAAAGTGTGTGAGCACTATGTCCTCGACTGTGTGAAGATAGAACCTCTTAGGGACAGGTCCAAGCACACTGTGTGTGAAATGGCACAACACTTCATCTCTAATGGCAAGATAGCCGACATATTAAGATTGTATCCACTTTTTGGCACTTAGTAGCTATATCAATTCTCATGTACAGAACCAAGTACAAAATGTGCTTGAATACCTCCCACGTAAATGTGAATAACAAAGTGTGAGGCCAGACATACTGCCTCACACGCCTGTGCTCACGCATTTGTGAATAAGTTACCCTTTATGTATAGAACTAAACAAATAATGTAAATGAAATACTGTGTAACATTCAGTGCCATAATATCCTGACAACGGGGGTTAATTATTATGACCCTTTGTAAACCCTACTCTGTAATCCTTTTGCGCTACCGCTCACAGGATGAGTGTGGGGTGCACAATAAAGTAGCCGCTGTAAGCGGCAAAATCAAAAATCAAATCCTAAGATGTCCCCACACACAACGCTTCCGTGACGCCTGCTGGACCACCACTCCACGACCCCCTGACGGAGACACCATGATCCCCCCCATACTGGCCAGATATTTGTAAATAACATTGATTATGTGTTAAAGGAATATCCTTCCTTCCTTAGGCTTTAGTAAACCCCTTTATAATATTTATACTGTATATACTTGTCACACTTGCCAGATGCTTCTGGTGTCATTGTACAGGGGTACCTAGTGACAGCACTAGGATCCCGCTTCCTCTATCAAGGAATAAACAATTGAAATTGAAATTGAATTTATATATATATATATATACATATATATATATATATATATATATATATATATATATATATATATATATATATATATATATATATATATATATATATGCAAGTAAATCACTGTGGGCGCGTGATCCAGGCATATGCTGATAACCACAAGGAAAGAAAAGAAGTTTCCAAGCGCTTTCGTGTTTTCTTTCCTTGTGGTTATATATATATATATATATATATATATATATATATATATATATATATATATATATATATATATATATTTCATGTAGATCCACAATGAAAACGTGGATAAGATAAATCTTGATAAAATCACACGGGAAAAGGGAAACAACGGAGCACCTTAGCTTTCGTCTTTATTCAAGACATCTTCAGAGGCAACTGGATTACATGGACAGAGAGAGGCTTAAATATACAGGGTGACCTGTATTCAAGGTTGTGATTGCATTACTGCTAAGCTCACAATAGTCTGGTGCTATATGACAACCTTCCACTAACTACTAAATGTTTACCTACACCCTGACACATGACTATCACACCGGTTTGGTTTGGAAAATAAAAATATTGCACATTATTGACATGTGCGTGAAACAATAACCTATAAGATACTGGAGTGTATTCACATTGTTGTAGGGCTGTAGAAGCATTAGTTTCTACTACAGCTAGTTCTAGTTCACATGTAGCTTCTGCAGCCCGGGTGAAAGCGAAAGCATAAGCAGGACATACAAGTAAGTGTATGTTGACTTACACTGATTGAGGACTTCATGCTCAGCCAGAGCAACTAACGAAAAATCTTCTGAAACAACTATTAGTTCAGTTTGTTTGTTTAGAATCAGAAGGTCGCCATTCGCCTTCAATAGAAATGGTTCCAAATACCAGGTATTAAACTTCTTTTGTGATTTTATTGGAATGTGTATTAGTATTTCCTTGTGTGTTAAGGTTGCCTCTAATAAGGAGTAATAATATTCCACTTCATGCTCCTGAAAGATAGGAGTTAGATGATATTTAGTTTCAGCTATATGTAAAGCGGCAATAAGTTCACCAACTGGCAATAACTGTGCATCTACACGACCTAGCACTGCATTCACTAAATCAGCTATGAGCCTACTATTGGTATCTGTGAAATCTTGTAGAGAGGGTCAGCTGCATGCATGTATTCGAGTATAAGTTGAAAAAGTAGGAAAATGTTTAGTAACATCTCAATTTCCATTCACATTTTCCTTGTATTATGGTGTTAATTGATATGTAGTCAAAATAAAGAACAAGGCTTGTAGAATATTGTGGTATAAGGAAAAAATATATATTACACAAAAACTCATGGAATAATTAAAGGGCCAAGCAGCACACCCTCCTCTAGCTCTAATGGACTGAGCCACACTGGCTTCATGCTTAGTGTTGCCATCTACAAATTTACATTCCCGCTATATGAGACTCCAAAACCCGCTAGATTTGACCCCTAACCCGCTAGATTGTAACTGTACAGATAATAGCATGTGTTATCCTTTTTATATTTACCATATATAGATATATAGACAATTAAACTGATTAATATATATATACATATATATATATATATATATATATATATATATATATATATATATATATATATATATATATATATATATATATATATATATATATAGATATATATAGATAGATAGAATGATAAATATATAAAGTTTGGTACATAGAAGTAGAGCTAATTAAGACACCGGTTAGCATAATGTCACAAAGTAATATGAATGTATAATCAACATCAAAGATTGGTTCACTGACGTACGCATTGTTAGTTCCAATCAATTTCAAGATATCAGCCGGTATTTCATATTCAAAACAAGACTTTTCATTTCTTTTCAAACCTGCTCGTATTGCAAGAAGAACATTAGCCATTTTTGTTCCCGTTCTGTTTCGAAGTTTAATTTTCACTATATTTAACTGGCTGAATATCCTTTCTACTGCAGCATTAGAGTCGGGTATGACGAGAACTGATAAAGCAAACTCTCCCAATCCTTGAATGGATTACAATGTGATGCGTCCATGTACAGTAGTTATGTACTTCATTCCAAAACAGTACAGTTTGTGGAACTTTATTCCACTTCACAAGAGCGAGATCCTTCCACTGACTGTCTACACTGATGCAAGTACAATTATATAACTAAAACCGCTAGAAATCCGCCAGACATCAGTTAAATCCTCAAAAAACCCGCTACCAGCGAGACAGCAACTTTACCCGCTAGATGGTGGGTCAAAACATCTAGATTTAGCGGGAAAACCGCTAAAATGGCAACACTGGCTGTGCTGCCGCTCACACAATGACCAAGACAGTCTCGTGGAAGGTGATAAGGCCTACACAAAGAAAATGATGTCTGTCAATTGGCGTCCAAGGTTCAGTCAGTTTCACTGAATAGTTTTTGAGTTATTTTAAAATATTGCCCATGGACGTTGGCGTCGCGAGGCTGAGAGTAAGTTTTTTCGCCTTTTATTTTCGACGCCACAATGGTGTCGTGCGAGGGTATTCCAAGATTGGAGCTGGATCCATCGTTGTTCCCTTGTGTTTTGCACAAGATAAACATTTAGCAATGTGATGCTCGATGTCAGTCTCCATAGTTTTCCAATAATATTTTCGTCTAATTTCTGGTAGACATCTGTCTCGCCCTGGATGTCCAGCTTGGGGTGCATCATGGAAGAGGGTGAGGAAGTTTTTCTTTAATGGTGTAGGAATAACAATTTGAGAGATTGAGTCTTGTTGTGTTTTTACTGAGCGATACAGTATGTCGTGCCGCAGCTCAAACTGTGAGAGTGGTAGAGGTAATATGGGCAAATTTACCTCATCTCCCGATTCTAAGACATAGATTACCTTGAACCACAGTGATCCTGTAACTGTTCCGCCCTTAAATGTGACAGGATAAACGTAGGTGGTGGCGTGACAAGAGCTATGTGTCTAGATAGCGAATAAGCTATCACGCTCGCACGGCCCGGCAAATACTTGAAGTCGGGTGCGAACTGTATGGTCAGTTACCAGCACGCTAAACGCCCTGATAAATTCTTCCCATGAAAAGATTCTGTCACGGCTACATGATCTGTGTGGACTGTTATCGGATATCCCAAAATGAGACCCGAAAATGCGTGAGAGCCCACACTACAGTTAATGCTTTCAAGTGAGAAGCTGAATAACGTGTTTCTGCATCGTTGAGGGTGCGACTGGCGTATGCTATTACACGCCATTTTCTTGATGATCAGTTTGCATGAGCACAGGGGCAACCCTAGGCCGGAGGCATCGGTACACATGGTAAATGGTTTGGTATAGTCCGGAAAGGCCAACACTGGAGCGTTCGCTAAGGCGCTCTTAAGGGCATTAAAACTTTTCTTTGTTCCACGTATACTCTACGTCATTTTTGAGGAGTTGAGTGACTGGTGAGGCTAACTTGGTATAACCTTCAATGAAAGAACGGTAGTATCCTGATAATCCCAGGAAACTACAAAGATGATCTGGATTCTTGGGACAAGTAAACTTCTTCACCGCCTTTACCTGTGTGTATACCGTTGCCATCTACTACGTGTCCGAGATATTGGATTCTGGATTTAAAAATTCACATTTGGAAACTCGTAGAAAATCTATGACTGGTCTCCATCCTCCATCTTTCTTGAGAACTAGGAATAAAGGCGAATTCCATGGATCCCTTGAAGCAGCGGAGGGAGGATTCGATGAGGAATTGGGAAGGAACATGGTCTATTAACAAGGGGCGAGTAGTGGAGGCAAGTGCACCAGTACAGAGCCAGGGGACACCGGGACATCCCCCACTTGCTTTACGTCCCACCCCTGAGTAGACGATCACCATGTAAACAATGTCATCTTTGACCACACCCCGCAAACCACAAGGGATATACAGTAATAAACGAGGCAGCTGCAGAGAATGGAGGGCGGCCGGAGTCAATACCAAGACCAGAGACATTGCTGAGGACAATTTCCAGCTTGAATTTCATGTACATACACTAATACTGAACCGGAGGAATGTGAGTTCAATATAGATGGATATGACTCGTTAACGAAACTTCCCCAAGAAACTTGCAAGAGAGGTGTGGTTATCTATGCTAGACCTTAGATCCAACCAAGTGCGGGTGCCGGAAGAGGATGTCTTCGAAGAATCAGAGTGGTGTAAAATTAAACTAAAAGATCCCCACAATGTAGCGTATTAAACCGAAGGAACATAAGAGCCTTAATTGACAATGTAACGGCGCTAAACCCTAGCCACCTCCTTGTCATGGGGTGACTTTAATAATGGCGACATCGACTGGAAAAATTAATCCACGCCAAACGACCTAAATAATCCCGCCACTCTTTTCGTAGAAACTCTGAGTGACAATTTTCTATTCTAACATATTAAAAATCCGACTCACTACAGGGAGAAGCAAACACCTAAACATCTGGACCATATCATAACTTACGAGGAGGGTATGGTGGCCAATTTGGTACACTTAGTCCCCGTTGGCACCAGTCACCACGTAACGTTGTCCTTCAGATTTAACTGTTACTTGGCTCATGACAAAAGCAGGTCCAGATTCAAACATTACAAAGGAAATTACGACGGGATGAGGAGGGGATGAGGAGCACTCACTGGCCTGACTTACTTAGAAATAAGAACGCAGGCACTACACTGAATATCATACCCAGTAAAGTTAACCATTCGATCGATAAAATATATATCAGAGACTAAACCCAGTGCTTCCAGGAATGCAAGGAGACCATTATACATGAACCATGCGGAGGTCGGCAACGTTAAGAAGAAAACTCAGGATTTCGAGACGTGGGTTAGGACAAATGAGCAGGAAAGGAGGATGTATGCCAGATCCAGTAACTAAGCAAAGTCAGAGTGTAGAAGGACTGAAAAAGAGTTCCAGAGGAAGAGTGCAAGTGAGGTGAAGTCAAACCCAATGAGTTTTTACCGTTACACAAAGTCGAAATTAAAAACGCGAGTAGGCATAACGGACCTGAGGCGTGAAGATGGTAGTTATGTATATTCTGACCAGGATAAGGCGCTGCTAAACAGTGCTGACCCACATTGTGTTCTCGGGTGAGGGTATAAGAAATAAACGGTCAACGCAAAAGATTCACATGAGTTCCGGCCCTGATATGGTACACCCAAGAGAGTTAAGAGATCTGTGTAACGAGCTTGAGGAACCTCTTAAGATTCTATTCTGAAACTGCCTCGTTGAGCAAAAGGTCCCCGGTAACTGTAAAATGGCTTATGTGAGTCCTATATTCAAGATAGGCGATCGTCACTCCACAAATAATTATAGACAAGTGAGCCTGACCAACATACTGTACTGTGTAAAGTACGAGAAAGCATCAAAAGAGATGCCATAATGGAACATCTACTACGAAACAACCTTGTAAAGGACTGACAACACGGTTTTATGCCGGGACGATCCTGCAAACACATATTTTTTTATTTTACAGGGAATAACTAAACCAGGCACAGGTCATCAACCACAACGGGGCCTGGGGGTGAAAAAATAAGAGTAAAGAGAAATTAGAAATATAAAAGTAAAAGTTATATTAATCTACACCACGAAGATGCCGGAAAACCAGCTTTTTAAAGTGAGACAAATTGTAAGAGAATGGCAACACAGAAGAAGGCAGAGCATTCACAGTTTGGCTGTGTGAGGAAAGAAAGATGTACTATAACGCATTATTGTAGTGTGACCGACATCCACAGAGAAACTGTGAGCACCGCGGGCAAGACGAGTGTTACGAGCCCACGGCCTGGCCGGAGGTACACAGTATGCAAAATCCACCGAACATTGCTCGTTAAAGTACTTGTAAAATAGAGAGAGTTAGTCAACATTGCAGCGAAGAGAAAGGAAAGAGAGATTATCAACTAAAGGAGGAGAGTTAATAAGATGAAATGCCTTTGATTGCACCCTATCTAACAGTTGGACAGAAGATAGGTCATCCCATATATGAGAGCAGTACTCCAAGTTAGGGCGAATGAGTTCCTTATAAACTTGAAGCAACTGCTGAGGAGTGAAGTAGCTACGGCATCTGTACAGCATTCCCAACTTTCGGGAGGCAACTTTAGCAATATTAAGGATGTGTGACTTCCAGGACATATTGGAGGAAATGGTGAGGTCTAACATATTTATTTCCCTATTTGGCAGGATGATTGCGTCCTGAAATGTAATTGGTGGGAGATCGTCTAATTTACAAAGTGTAATGGGTAAATATTGAGTTTTATTACTATTGAACTTAACCAAGTTTTTGTACCTCCCCATTCAGAGATGCTGCACAGATCCGCATTGATAGAAGTAATGATATCAGTTCTAGAAACAGATCTAGTTTGAGAATTAGGGGGAAGGGAAAAATGTGAAGAAGAGTGAAGAGTAGAATCATCAGCATAAGAATGGATAGAATTAGTCGTAGTGTGAAGTAAATCAATGATAAAAAGAAGGAAGAAAGTAGGTGAAAGATCTGAACCCTGTGGGACACCACTATTGGAAGAGAAAGAGCGAGAGGTCGATCCCTCGACAACAACTGCATGGATTGGTTCTCAAGGAAGCTAGAAATTAGAGAACAAAGTGGGGGTGGGGGAGTTTAGAAAGCAAAGACTTGTGCCATCCTCTGTCAAATGCTGTGGAGATATCGAGGGCCACGACGAAAGTTTCCCCAAAATCCCTAAGAGAGGATGACCAAAGATGGGTGCAGTAGGAGGGCAGATCACCAGTAGATCTCGCTTACATACTTGGAGCTGGCGGACGTCCTTCCCACAAGGGGTCACAGCTCAAGTTTGAAGAAGCCACAAGTCCAGAAACCTGTGAGGGCAAACTTTTTCGGAGTGAGAATTGTGAACTCTTGGACCAATCTGCCAGAGTGTGTTGTGACGGCACCGACTGTGAGCCCATTCAAGGCCAAACTTGACCAACACTGGGGCAGGCTACGATATATTCAAGAGCCAGAGCATGCCCAGTACTTTCCACCAATCAGTGGCGAAGAGGATAAAAGTAAAAAATAAATTATGAATCTTTTCTGTACATTCTATACATTTCCCTGCACTGCTCTCTTTGCATCACCTGTCTCCTTTCAATTTTATTTAAAAAGAAAATAATATTTAGTCTCAATATTTTTCTTTAGGGATTTTCTTTGTAATATTCACATTCTCTTACCATATTTCTTATCCTATTAATTTTCTTTAAACTTTCATTTATTCATTGTGAATGTTAGTTCTAAACTATTTAATCAACTGTATTTAGATATGACCAAATGTCGAGTGTCATACTTATCTACAGCTTTTACAAGTTGTTCCACATTCTCAGGTCGGGTTGGATACTTCGGCAGTGTGAGGGCGGCTGTGAGGTTGCCGCGGTAAGCTGTACCCACGATGAAGGCGAACACCAACCAGGCTGCTACTAACACAGGGTTGGATCGACTGGTGGAGAGTTGCCCAGTGAAGCCCTGGCCCAACAGTGTCCCCACCACCTCCTGCACCACAGCTAAGGCTTCTATCTTGCTGTACTCGCCCCTGTACACATTCATTCGAGTGATCTGAGAAATGCCACAAAATTACAAACACATCTCCCCTGCAAATTTAGGCCATAATATCCGCCAACTGAACAACTTTTCAAAATTAATTATGAAGAGAAAAATGCAATTTTAGCTGAGAATAATATGACTTCAGTTATAGAGAAAACCTTGATATATGAAGAAATAGCTTAACGGGACTTGGGCCGTTTACTTATTTGGACGAAAAACATGTTTACAAAGATGATCTGTAGAAGTTAGGCCCATATGCAAGATCAGCCGTGGTGTATACCATGCAGTAGTACTCCTATGGTTGTTATGCAAGAAGCGTTTTTGGCTAAAAAAAATATGTACGATTCGTTATTGGAACATGGGGAAATTTCGTGGTACACGTACCCCCCGCCCGATGATCATTACATGGGAACTATTTTTGAAACCAAAAGAAAGAAAATTTATTTGGATGGACATAAAATGTATAAATGTGCAAAGGAATAATATTTGTTATACGATATACTCCCTATAAAACAGCACATGCAGCATTGTATTGTTCTTTTTAAAAGCGGTCCGTGTTTGTGTACGAAAAATGCCGCCAGCCTCTACTTGTCTCATCGCCGTTTATATCCTCCAAATTCGCCTAACCATCATAAAAGGTAAACCTTTAAGATAACTAATACAACTAATTTATGTGTAGAAATGTATTGAAATCAAATTAAACTGAAAAAAAGTCGTAAATGGTCTATTTGAAGAGTGGTGAGAACAGCTTCCTCTGGAATGGTGAATGACGTCCTTTATCAGAATTAATATCGACCCAATTGTCGTAATGAGCGCAATTAATAACCGTCCAGCACTACCAAAATAATTATTTCCTTAGTATAATTACTTATTAGCCTAGATTTCATATTTAATAAGTCCAAATATGCCAGGTAACTAGTGCTAGGTACTTCCCAGGCATGTTTCATTTGTGCATCAGTTTAGGGACAATTTGCTACTAATAAGATAAATTCAGTGACCTAAATTCATGTTTTATTTTTTATTCCCTTAGTGACTCGATGTATTACAAGAAAGAACTACTTTACGACTTGTTTGGGCCAACAGTTAGAGTGGTGATATTAATTAACTTTGCCATTGACAGTGGTAGAATCAAATGTAGATATATTGGCTTTGTATGTCCATGATTTCAACAAAAATGAATAAGTCCTTCTAAAGTAAATGGAATTGATGCTATTATTTTCTTTTGGCCATCCAGGTAATTTAATGATTTTAAATTGACCGATTTTTACCAGTTAAGTTAGGTTAGGTTTGGTGACATTGAAATTATGTTTTTTCAAATGCCAAGTAGGTGGATGACCTAAACATTAATTTTTTACCAAATTGATTATGATTAGATCAAAAACATTAGTCTAGTTTTTTTTACAAATTCAGACTCCGTAAAGTTCAAATGACAATCACTTCATGATAGATGTTTCATCCTATACACTAAGCTACTTTATGTAAGAGGAAAAAATTGGCACCAAATTGTATTGTTTAATACCAAAAGAAGTCATTGATGATAATATTTAATAACAATATTTCAGGTATTACGACCTGGTCGTCGGGTCGGAACACCGTCGTAAGTCGAGGAGAGACTCTAATACGTTTTCATCTTTAAACTCCTTGTATCTTACCTACCTCACCTTGATGCTCCACTCAATTATAGCTAGATGTAATAATTGTAGAAAGTAATCACAAGTATGACTCCCTTTACCGTCAATTGTTTTTATATTACAATTCTTGGATATTCAAAGATAATGAAATTATGAATCTTCAATAAATGTGATTTACGTACATTCTAATGATGACAACAGAAATATGTCGGACTTGACTAATTAACTGTAACCAGAAATTGACCTAAGTGAAGTTGTCCTTAATCTAACCCTTAAAATATGAAAGACAGTATACTTTATTTTATGATAGTTAAGTCAGTTTCCAGTTAGGTTAAGTGAGGTAGGTGAGGTTTACATTTTGATATAGATCATTAAAATTTTAAAGGGCTTATAATTTTTGTTCTATGAATTTCTCACAAAAAAAGGGATGAAAGTTTTAGAATCACCATAACAATATACACTACAGTACAATACATTAAAAAATACAATAATTTTTCTAATGTGTGTTGCATATCAAACCAAACAAATCTGAATTTCCTTTGGAATTTTTTATTTTAATTTTTTTTTAACAGACAAAATTACCCTCAATATTTAGATGTTGGAAACTTATAAATATTCACCCTCATAAATATAGATGTTTCAGAATTCGCAATTTAACTAACACAATATTAATAACTTTATTTTCACTGACTATTCACCTTTCACCAATACTGAAGAAATAAATCTTGGTATCATTTGATTGAAGGGGAATTTTTCCGGTTCCAGGGAAGATTTTGGAATTTGCTTTCTATCCTAACCTCGGAACTGGTTCCCTGACTCGGAACAGAAAAATTTGGAGACTTTCCGTAAAATCCCCAAATTACTCATAGACCAGAAAAAATGCAGTTTCTGGAATTTTCTGAACATATATCTTGGAGAAATTATAACGTACTGTATGCCTTAATTATTATTATTATTTTTTTTTTGCACTCTGCATACATACGTGGATATTGCGTATTAATTTATTTGTGAAATTTGTGGATGATTTTTCTTTTAAAATACTTTACTCTTGATCATCCATATATTAAAACATATCCTGCTTTTAATAAAGGCCATATTCTGAAATAATCATTATCATCGTATTTTTATCCTTATTATTATAACAGTTTATATTAAACATTAAAAAATGCAGAAATGATTTGCAATTAATATTGCAGACTGTATTGAGGATATTCTTAAACCATTTAATTATCATCTTGTTCTATGTTTAACATTATTAGTCTCTGATTAGTTGGTAGAATTTCATGACTATACCTACTGTATATGGGTTCCATGACATTTGCTCACAAGATGAACCTAATCTAACCTAACATGTCTTCATTTCCATAATAGTTGAGCATATGCCTTGTAAACAAATGTCTGCACACTAACTATATGAAGGCTCTTTGGTGAGGATCTATATTCAGTATTTACATGTAATATATTTCCAAATAAAAGACTTTTTAAACAGCAGAGACTTTTCTCCGACTTCTGGTTTAGTCCATGTCTTAACATATTGTATACATTTTTACTCCTGACATTGGGGAAGTGTTCATGTCTTGTTTTCTTGAAAGGGTATTTATTGCATTACTATAATCAGGTGGAGAAAAGGAGGAAATATTATCTCAAGTTTTCATATCTTGTAGATAACTGGCCTTGTATAATATGAAAGTAAAAATTTTGGTACCTGTATAAGATAATTTCCTGTTTGATAGAAAACTAACAGTTATGGTGATATTTTTTCAAGATTTTATCCCAATTCATCTGTACAGTGAGTTCATCACTGTCATAACAAAATTATAATACCTAATATTGTACTTTGGTATATTCTACTGACTTCATCCACAGACCAGGCCATAGTTCTCTTTATTACACTCACCCAACCCCAAGTTCATGAAAAACTGATAACTTTATTGTTAGATTTAATAAGGATAAAGAAGAAAGGAACAGATATTACAGTGAATTCCTACGTTTTTATGGTTGTCACAGGCTTTATTTACCTATATTCACTGTAAATGATCGTATGTTATTCCCAGAATTGGCTTATAATCCAAGAACATAGGAAAATGAGGTGCACCTTAGCTTGGGATTCAAGTTTTTTATGCTCGTAAATCGTGTAGCAAGAGCAAACGTTTCGTGCCACTGACAACGTTTTCAGGGTGCAAGCATACCAACCCCCAAGTCTACATTACGATGACGTAGTAACAACAAACGACAGTCGGGTACCACCATGGCCCATCTTGAATACTCACAAAATTTTCACTCCATTGTATTACCACCGCCGGGATACCATGGCATGGTGTACACCACGGCTGATCTTGCATTTGGGACTAAAATGGTTAGGTAACTTCACAAACTTACAACCAATTAAACCGAATTTTATTATACTTTACGATTTCGACAGGTAATAATAGTAGTCAAAGATTCATGAAACCTAAATAAAAGCGAATTAAATTAAAATAATATCTTACTGTGACCAGGACCATACAGGTGAGAACGGCAGTGGCCAGGATGGCGGCCCACACACTGCTGGACAGCGGGTAATACAAACTCTGCCACTGAGGTTTCAGTGTGGGCTTGGCCATACCGAAACAAAATGGCGAGAAATCGAATATGTATGTGTAATCAAACTTGTCCAAGCGACTTGGAAGAACCACGTAGACAATACTCGCTATGAATGAAGTTCTAGCCTCCACTTGATTGGTCACCTGTGGATGTTAATGATAGAAAGTGTAATATTGTATTAATATGAGCCAAAAATTGTCTATGGAGCCCAAGCAGTGAAACTATAAGAAAAATAATTCAGAATTTTGTCATATATATATTCAATCACCATAACACACACACACACACACACACACTACATCCTTGACCACTGAAGGGTCAAGACGTACCTGGCGCTGCTCTGGCAGCAGCCAGGTCAACTGTTATGTTGGCCCATACCAAGTTTTTTTTTTTTTTTTTTTTTTTTTTTTTTTTTTTTTTTTTTTTTTTTTTTTTATGGTTAAGGTAGGGAAAGGATGGGAGGCATGCTGGGGCTGAAGGCACAGACAGACATGAGGGATAGAGAAGTCACAACATATAGTCGTGGGGGGAAAGATTGGAAAAGAAGTTTAACGAGTTAAAAAGAGGGAGACGACACCCCATGTCTTACATATTACAAAGTTTGTTGGCTAACTAAGCTAACCTAGGATTTAGGATGAGGTTGCACAATGGTTACTTTGGTAGACAATGACTAATTTGATTATACAATTATATGTTTAATAAAATCTTATACTGTATTACGTTATGGACTCACTACATTGTGACTTGTTAAATGTGAACTTATATCATCTAAGTTTTAATCTAAGGTGGATCACTGTGGCGGACATAGATGGGTCGCGGGTTGGGTTGTTGTAGTGCGGGCAGACTCCGGGGCCACCAGGCGTGGGGTCGCCCTCCGTTGATGTCTCCCCCGTCTTCCCCGCGTAGGTGGTCTCGGCTGTGAGGGTCGTCCAGGAGCTTGTCCCAAAACTTCTTCCCTAGGCGATGGAACCTGACGTTGAGGGCCTCTGTTCTATTTCTCAGGTGGATGGTTTCCACTGCCTCCTGGTAGGGTGGCGCTTGGCCACTGGCTGACCTCAGACACTTGTTTTGGAAGCTCTGTAGTTGTTGTAGTCTAGTCTTCCCGAGTGTGACGAGTGGTATAGATGGGTACTCCAACACAGGCCTCACCAGCGCCTTGTACAGGTGGACTTGTATCTTCTCAGGCATCAGTTTAAGATGTTTTAATTTGGCTGCAGCTGCTTTGGTTTTCTTTAGTCTGTCTTTAACGTGGGAAATGATGCCCGTCCGAGAGATGATGAGGCCGAACAACCTGCCTTGTTTAGAGTACTCAATCTCTTCGTCGTCGATCATCAATGGCGCCGGCTTGAATTTGGCTATGAGTATGACCTCGAATTTCGTTTTGTTTGTTTTTATTTCCCATTTATTTTTATACTCGTGAGATATCCTCTATTGCCCTAGCAGTGTTACATCGTCGGCATACATGACGTACTCTCTGCCGACGATTGGGGGTGGCAGGTTAGCCGTGTAGATCGTGTAAAGGGTTGGTGAGAGACAAGAGCCCTGAGGCACGCAGCTCGATAGTGAGAATTCTTCTCCACAATGTTCTTGCATCTTGATTTTGGCTCTGCAGTCCGTAATGAAGTTGCACAGCAGGTGCGTCAGGTTTTCGGGTAGCCCCTTTGTATGATCTTATACTGCAGCCCCGCCTGCCAAACTTTGTCAAACGCCTTGCTGACGTCCCTCAGTACTACGCCAGTCATGGCGTTGGCGATCTGCTCGTAGGCCTGGGCTATGGCGGTGGTTGTGCCTCGGTATTGGTGAAAGCCGAACTGGCGGGGATTATACACGTCTTCGTCCTCCAGATACATCTCCCTCTCCTGAACCCTCCTCCCCACCGGAATATCAACAAGTTGTCGCCAGAAGATTCTATTTCATTTAGAAAAGGAATGAAACCAGTGTTGAATAGCGGTGAACAGTGCTTAAGTCAGTGAAAAACAACTCAACAGTAACAGCTGAGTCGTACCCAAGCTAACCTTCACACAGTAGGGTGTGTCATAGGAGGGAAGATCAGCTAAAACTAATGGCCCATCACTTTTTTGGTAGATTTTAGTGTATATAAACAGAAAATAATTTCAGTTTCAATATTTTGCAACCTTTTGCTAGGTAAATTTTAGCGTGAAATTTATCGAAAATCTAGCGTACAGCTGCATTAGTGCATTACAATTAAATAGTGAACATTGCTTTCTGACTTCATTCTTTAACAACCCAACTAACAATATTTTTTTCTGTTTCAGATTCTGATGCATTTATAAGTTGATAATATTTGCGATGGCTGCTTGTGTCAGGACGAGGAACCAAAAATCCAGCCATCTCAGTCACTATCTTGGGTCTGGGAGAGAGCTCCTGAAGTCGGAGTTGCCTACATTGAGAGATGCTTTGAGATACGGTGTTTTAATCAGGCAAATCAGTGAAAAGAACCAAAGAACTTACACAAACAAAGACATTGCCAGTGATATGACCAAAGCTGTCTTGGCACAGTACACTCTGGCTAACGCTCAGTTCAAGCCTCCAGTCATAACAAGTCAGAAGAAGATTAGTGAGAGACTGCTAGCCAGTTGGGAAAAGGCAAGAGATATCTCTCTTGGGAGAGGAAAACTTGCAGTTAAGGACAGCTTTGCCAAGCAACTGGACCAGTTATTTGACATAATTACTTGCAAGTGCCCAATTGTTCTCTGTCCTGAGTTTGGATGCGATCGTGACTGTAAATCCGAGGCCCACATCTCCTGTATTTGCAAGCGTGAACTGAAGATTCCTGTGATCGAACTGGCATTTGTCAAAGCACAGAGAGAGAAGACTGGCAGTATAGGGGCTCTCATGATTTCTAGCCAAGATATTCCGGAGTCCAAGAGACAGGAGGCTGCCACAGAGAGACAGAAGAGGAGAAGAGTTGCCGAGGAAAAGAGACTTGAGAAGGCCCAGGGTGAGGTAAAAAAGGCCGATGATTGGAGTCAAGCTGATTCAGAGTTTAATGACTTCCCCATGGCTGATCCGAGTGCTGACCAGGAGAATGGTGACTTTGTCCCTAACCCAGAAAATAATGATCCCAAACCTTCCAGGCATAAGATTCGAAATAGGAAAGATATCCCGAGCATAGCTCTGGCCAGCATTCGACACCACACTGGTCTCAGAGAAACTGCAGAGATAACAACAGCTGCCTGGATTGACGGTGGTTTGATAACACCTGATGATGTTCACCTGGTGATAGATCATAACAAAGTAAGGAAAGCTCAGGAGAAACTTGTCAGTAACCTAGAAGAGGAGTTTGATAAGGGGATAAGAGAAAATGGAATCAATTGTTTGTTCTTTGATGGGAGAAGGGATGACACTAAAGTGTTCATGAAAGTTGGAAATTCTGACAAGTTGTTCCCTGCCATGGTGAAGGAGGAACACTACTCCTGCTGCAATGATGAACCAGGAGAAGTATTTGTGGCATTTCACTCCAGAGAGAAGATGACATCAGGAAACCAGCTGAGATGAGTGGCAGATAACATTGTGAACTGGCTCAGAGAACATGGAGCCAGACCCTGCAGGCCATTGGAGGACCTTTGCTGAGCACAGAGTTGTGGGGGGGGTCATGCAGTGGATAGAGCGGAAGGGAGGAAGCTGGTCTGGTTGTTTGTGACCTCCCACACCAACGAGTTGCCCACTCCAGACATCTGATCCAGGAGCTGGATGGCAAAGACTCTTTCCAAACAGCAGATGGTCTGCGGTCCTCTTGGCAAGATGCTGGACTCTGCCACTGAGTTAGAAATAAATCCGAGCTTTGAAAAAATCACAGTTGGCCCTCCACTCGTTGAGCTTGCACATACTGTCATTGACGACCTGAGTACTGACCATTTTATGGTTACATGATTTGCAGTGCCATCAAAACTGGGGTCATGCCTGATAGACTTGCTTACCTGCAGATAGGTCCAGTCTCACATTCTAGGTGGCTCACAACGGCTCTCAGGTTCTGCAGAATTTGGGTCGCTCGTCATAAACTGAAAGGGAACCAGCTTCACAACCTGAGACTTATTGTCCAATTCATCGTGAGTGTCTGCTTGCCAAATTGGTTCAACACCAAGGTTAAGTCATCGTTCTCCGAAGGTCCGAGGCATGTTCTCTTCCAGCTTGAGCTCCTGAGGAGTCAGCCAAGGAAGGTTGTTCAGATTGTGGAGCAGACTGTGAGGAGATCTTCCTGGTATGCTCATCCCGAGGCAGTTCTGCAGACAATGCTCTGCCGTAAGGATGAGGAGGAGAGAAGAGTGGCAGTCAAAAAGATCTTGGATATGAGACTTATGAGAGGATCTGGGCATGACGAATCAGTTGGTGACGATTCCTTCAGGGTCAGGAAGACTCCTGAAGTCAATCAGGTGCCAAGACCCTCACTGATCTCATAGATCTGGATAACATCCAGGCTGGCAGTGAGCCCCCTCTTACCTGCAGCCTCACCAATGTTCAAATCAGAGCTTTCCTGGACAACCCATGCATGTCCCTGCTGCCTGGCCCTCGCACACCCAGAGTATAGAGCGTTGTGTGTACAGTAAGTGAGCGAGGCCAGCAGTCGTGTGTACAACCAGGGAGAGGGAGGAAGGCTACATCCGAGCTCAGGTGGTCAGCTGGGGAGGTGATGAGTAGAAACAGAAACAAGAAAAGACATGTTCTCTATGGTGTGCAGCAACACGGTCGTAGTAGTGGAAACCGGTTTTGTATTTGATGATTTTGTTTTTTCTAAGGAATATTAAATTTAATAAATGTGTCAAGATCATTCGTTTCACTATTCTGGATCATTTTCATCCTAATAAATTAACCTGATACTACATTTACTTTTGCTTTAAATAAGCTATTTAGTGGTGTTGGTAAAAGGGTGGGAATACTGAATTTTCATAAGATTTCAAGTTAAAATTTACCTAGCAAAAAATGAAAACTTTTCAAATCTGAAGATATCACATGATTCTGCACATAGAACTACATCATTAATACCATGGGCCGCTTTCAAACTAAAAAAAAATTCGCCTCCGTATGACACACCCTATTCACACAGTGAGGTTCCAGGTACCCAATGATAACTGCCCGTGAGACTCAACAACACCAGCTACAGGTATGTGTTAATCCGTCCACG